AAGGAGATGGCAGTGAAAATGAGAAAGGCCCTCAATGAGATGCATTGACACAAAGGCTGTCACAATGGCTCGAGCATAGGGACAATTGTGAAGATGGCTCAGGATGGAACAGTGCTTCATTCTGTTGTGCACAGGGTCGCTATGGTCAGAACCAACTAGATGGGATCTAGTAAAAACAATATGCAATATTTTCATACTGCCTCTCTTATGTCACTTTTTTGCTTTTGTGATTTCAGCCCTTTGCTTATAAACTAAATTAACTTCATATATTGAGTATTTTTACAGATCCAAATACTTGTATCTACAATCAAAACTTAAAGTAGCAGCTGTCAAGAAGTCAAAGGACATATTTGATTGGGTTAAGCTGTTCTACAAGACCTCTTAAAAAATGTTAGAGATCAAATATGTCACTTTAAGGCGGAAGGTGGGCATGATCCAAGCCATAGTATTTTCAACTGCCAAATGAATGTAAAAGCTGGTAAAAGGTAAGTAAGGCCAGAGAAGAACTGATTCATTTGAATTTTGGTGAAGAATATTGAAAGCACCACAGACCTCCCAAAGAACAAACCTTTCTTGGAAGAAATACACTAAAATGCTCCTTCAACGTGAGAATAGGAGACTTTCCTCAGGGATGTTCAGCATCTTTCGGGAGACCATTGTTCCTGAGCTCAAGAGAGGACATCGTCTCCGTGACGTGAAGAGTCAGAGGCCAAGACGAATGCCCTCAAGGAGGTCAAGTGCCACGGTGGCTGCAAGACTGAGCTTAAATTCAATCACTGGGAGGATGACACAGGACCCAGTAATCTTTCTTTCCACTGGATGTCGAAGGGCACGGACCCAGCGGTGTTCTTTCATTATGAGTTGGAGACAATTAACAACAACACAGGGAACAAAAATTGTTTTGCCAAATTTTAGAGGTCAGACACTGAAACTTTCTTCTAAAAGTATTAAGAAATGCTCAACTCTTCTGTAATTCTACATAGGGAAGAAATCAATCTAAGTATCAAAATATCTTGCTTTTAAGTGCCAATAAGACCATTTTGACTCATGATGATTCCATGCAATAAAATGGAACTATTCCATAAGGTTTTCTAGTCTGTAATCTTTATGAAACTAGAAAGCCAGGCCTTTCCCCTGAGGAACCACTAGCTACATTCAAATGACCAGTCTGTTGGCAGGAGCCAAGTGCTTAACCATGGTGCCACCAGGGCTCATTATACCAAAACATAACAACATTAAAAAGTTTTAAAGGGGAAATTAAAGTTCTTTATAAGCAACTTTAAATAGCTGATCTAATTTTGAGGGAGGGATATTATGTATTCTATCTATTACAATATGATGAATTTTATCTACTTGTGAAATTAACAGATCTTGATACAGTCTTAGATTGTGATTTATATGAATGTTCTAAAGTTATATATATGTTTAAAATAAATATGCATATATTTTAAATCATTGAATACATGGTAAAGATCAGAAGGGTTTATGCCACTAGTGTGCATTTGACCAAGAATTTCCAGGAACATATGTTTTTATCCTTTCTGCTAATTTTCTTTAAATGGACCATAAATTTTATATGAATAAATATGAAATAATTATGAATAATTATTAATAATGTACATTAATAAATAGCAGGAGTGATGCTGTTGTCAGTTATCATCTACAAGTAGAAGCTCTTTTATCCTATTTACTTGCTCTGTTCTCTTTTCAACAAATCCATATTTCATAGTTTCTAGGAATTCTCAATCTTTTTCATTTGGCCTTCCCCACAAGATGTCCTTCAAACTCCCTACCCCCACCGCCCACCCCTCCAGGCATATTCTTTTTCTTGTCACTTTAGAAAAGAAGGTATGAAGTCTGGAGTGGTTTAGACTGTTGTTGGTCCGAAAGGGCATTGATGGAAGACAGCTTAGCAATGCCCCCTTGACTTCAAGGCAGGTTCAAATTTCTGAGTCACTCAAAAGAAAACTCATGAAATAAGACCACAGCTGATTGAAAAATAGTCTGCTTTATATTTAGAGGAAAACATCCTACAACAACAAAATAAAATATTGGATATGTTGTGATGGCTATGCCCACCCCCCCCACCCCCATTTCCAGAAACTGTACTCCAGCCCAAGACACAAAGGACCTATCCTGAGAGCCACAACTTAAGGACTAAAGTTTTAAACAAGCCCTAAGCAATTAAAATGTGAATTAATTAGCATCAAAATTTCACTTTAATAGAATTAAGCAATAGAAACTGGACGAAAGCATTTTGTGAAGGATTTTATTTCAGCCCAGAGACTTCCTTCTGGTACTTTGGTTAGCAGGAACACAGACTTAATTTCACTGAAACAATCACATCAACCACTGCCGCTCATTTTTCATAGGCGCCCTGGCATTGGCAGTGGATTTGAACCCATTAGCTGCTTCTGGAAAGAACAATCTCACAGTCTGCTTTATCCCACGAGGCAAGATTCCACGCAGAACCAACACAATGGCAATGGGTTTGGGCCTGGGAGGCTCATCTGCCAGTGTCTATATCTAGCAGACTATGCCAGAATACTAAAAGGTAAGGTTGAATTCTTTCCCTTTCCAAAAGATCTCCAAATCCTCATGATTGACCTACTTTTCTCTGTTGCCAGATCAAACCACGTGCCGTCGATTCTGACTCCTGGCAACCCCATCTGGGTGTGCTAGAACTGGGCTACACCGTGCTCAGTGGCTGATGTATTATCCTTATGACTAAAGTCGACTTCCAGACCTTTTTATAAAATACTTCTGGGGGACTTGAGCCTCTAACTTTCCGTTCCTAGCTGAGTGCATGAAGCGGGTGTGTCCACTGAGAGCGCTGTTGTGTCAACCTCCAGCATCGCTTCCAGCTCTCAGTGGCCTCACATCACAATGCACCAAAACACTAAGCTCACTGGCGTGGAGTCAATTTGACTTGTGATAACCCTATAGGAAAGAGCAGACTTGCCCCTGTAGGGCTTCTGAGCCTGGACATCTTTATGGGAGTAGAAAGAAAGCCTCATCTTTCTCCCACAGAGCAGCTGGTGGGAGAAACCTGACCATCTTTATGGGAGCACAAAGCCGTTAGGTTAGCAGCCCCATGCTCCAGGGCTCCCTCACCACATACACCATACGCTCAATGATTTAAAGAGTAAATCTGACTGTCCCTCACCATCAGAAACGCTTTCTTAATTAGCCTTTAGGACACGTTTACCCCTTAGTGTCTATGTTTTAGGAGCCCTGGTAGTGAAGTGAGCAAGGTCAGCAAGTAGAAACCAATAGTCTCGCTGAGGGAGAAAGATTGAGCTGTCTGCTACCATTAAGATTTACAGCCTTGGAGACCCACAGAGGCCGCGCTCCTCTGTCCTGTAGGGTCTCCGTGCATCAGAATCAATTCAATGACAGTGAGCTTTTGTCTGCTTGTATATTTCCTAACCTCTCATGACTGCTTCCACTCCCTCCTGTGCGTGTTTGGTATTTGTCTCAAGACGCCCTTACTTCTCTCCCCTCACCCTGGATGGGCCTGCACCCTCCTCACCTCCATGGTTACCTGCGCTCCCGCGGATGCCCCGCTCCCCCAGCCCCGTCTGTCCTTCTTTATCTAGCTCTCTGGCCTTTATTTAAATATCGCTGCCAAGCAGAAGTCCTCCTTAATCCTTAAGCCAGTGCCTTAAATGTGATAGCCACCTCAGGTGTGGGCTTGCCTTCATTTGCTCCCAGGTGGTAGGAGATGGCATCGTTTCCAAACACTAATCAATTGAGAAAGTGAGCAAAAGCCTCTTGTTATTCGTTAAAAATGAGGCAACCCCAATGGTCAATTTTGATAGCACATTTTGGATTAGCAAGCAACACTAATGTGAAGTCAGAAAGTTGCTGTGGCTTCAAATGTTTGTATGATTAAAGAATACTCACTCCTTCAAAGGCATTATGTAATGTTACATTTAGTTCAAGGGAAGTGATCCATTGCTAGTTAAATATTTGTGTGTAACAAGGTTTAACATGCAGTTCTAAAACCTACCCAAAGCATCTCAGCAAATTTTTCGCTATTGCATAAATTACTAACAACATTAATGAGAACAAATTTTTACATAATATTTTTAAGTTCTGTAAGTGTCATATATACAGATGATAATTTCACTTTCAAAAGACCACCAAGAGATAGGCAGACGGAGGTCAAAAATCCTTTCTATTGATATAGGGAGTTTAAATGACTCACAAAGACATTGACTATTAAGTTATGGGTCCGGAAGGAGAATTCAGAACTTCTGATGACAAGTTTATAAATTTTGGGCCACCGCTTGCCCCCATTTTATGTCACATTTTTGAAAATCAAGGTATTCATGCACTGAGGGTAACACTGCTCTCTCTGGATAATCCTATTTGAAATGCATATAATCCTCTGAAGGTTGCATATTGCAGCACAACAATGTGTGCATTAATTTATCATTTCATTTTCTATAAGTCAGAGGAGCTCTCAACTAACAGGGGTGATTTATGACCAGTGACCAGAGTCTGAAAAAAAAGGTTAACACAAGAATAAAGTAAGAAACACATTAAAGAAACTTTGCTTTCTTACGTTTGGTATTGGCCACCACCATAAAGGTAAAGTGTCTTTCTAATCAAATATACTTTCTCTTAAAGAAATTGTAGTTCTATTCTGACCTTGTTGAACTGGTAGTAAGAAAAATGAATTAGTATTGTAATCTTCCTGTACCTAACAGTTAGTTACAGCATTTTACCTCTGCATATGAGTATATATATGCCCAGATACAGTCATCTGTATATGTAAAATATTTTATATACATAATTTAATTTGCAACAAATATATGATTTCCTTATTTATAGATGAGGAAGTTAAACTCAGCAGATTTTACAAACAAGTCAGGGACAGAAGTCTAACTCAGCAGATTTTACAAACAAATTACTCCTTAAACTCTCAAACCTTCCTTTCTACCAAACCTTATAATAGTCATGTTGATATAGCATTATTCTCTGTGAATACTTACATTTCATCACACCTTGAATTTCATAAACAGGCTTGAGAATCAAAGAGCCATAAAAGCCTTTTGGAAATGGATTTGTTGAATCCCACTTCTTTGAAACATCGGTAAGCTTCACAGTTCGCGCTCTATTCTTTGGGATCTTCCACTCAACAATCTCCTTGAGGGTATAAATATGTTCATCTTCACACTCAAAGAAGTGCCCTTCTTGTGACAAAGGCAAAGTAAATGAGTGATTTTGATGATTTCTGTTCACGCCACAGTTCACCATCATTTCTCCATTGATCTCTTCAACTGCATTGAGCGTGAAGTGTTCGCCCTGCTTTATGATGATATTCTCTAGTTGTATATCCTTCTGATGATAGAAGTAAGGATGTCCTAGCCTACCTGGTCCAATATGAATTGTTCTTATAATTTCTTCCATGGTAAGGTATGGAGTTTTATCAGCCACAATCTTAAAAAGACCTGAGAAAAGAATTGTGTGAATTAAGGAGAGTTCTTATAATGAACCCTTTCATAAGAAAATTATTATGATATGATTGAATTATTGAATTGTATGACATGTGGATGAAGGTCAAATCATTATTTTTAAAAAGAAAGAAAGAAAATTATCATGAGATAAGTTTAAAACTAACACAGGGTTGCTTTTAAAAACAATATACCTTTAAAAAAAGATTGGAGGTAATTATTGAAATTCTGTGTAAAATTTATTGTATTAGCTATTGATTACAGGTCAGGAAACTTAAATCGAGTCTAGTGTAAAACACCTGAAAATAGAAGCCCTGTTCTTCACATTGGGAAATCTGTATATGATACAGGCTCTGTCCCTAACTCACTATTTGATCTTGAGCAAGGCATTTAGTCACTCATGAGCATATAAATAAAGAAACTAATGCGGGACCTAGTTTCAGTATTTCTGTGATTGTGGTACCTAGGAACACCAAATTAAATTCATGTGTTCCAGAAGAAAAAATTTTCACAATGATCAAACATTTGGCAATGGATAATGGTAATGATGTACAGTATAACTGATTTAATTTGTCTTCCAGTTGTATACATGAGAAATGTTGAATTGGCAAATGTTGTGTCATCTGTGTTTTACAAAAAAAAGTTTTAAATAAGTAAACCTATATAGCTGAAAGTAGACAGTCATGATAGTCATACAACATTGCCAATGTTATTAATGTGATTGCATGGTACACTTTAAACTGCTTTAAATTGTAAATTTTATGTGATGTCTATTTTAATACAATTGTAAAACTTTATATAGGCACAATTAATTTAAAATTTCTAAAAAAAAAATTGATAGAGTCTGCATCCCAGGAGAGGAATATAGCATGCAGAATTTCCCTGATTGTAAAACAATCTGGGGAAACATTGATTAATATGTCAAAGCATACTAATGCTCCACAATACTTTCTTTGGAAATTTCTAGAGTAGATAGATTTTCCTGGATTGACCTCTGTTGATTTATAGGCCGTTATTTCTTCTCATTAACTCACTAAGTTTGTTATAGTTTTTCTGTGTCAAAGATTTTTTTTTATCCCCTCTGTCAAGATAATCACTAAGTTAATGAATTATTAGTGTTCAAGATATAGCTTTGAAACTTCCAGCAAAATAGTGAACTACACAGACAACCTTCACAAACACTGTACAACTGAGGCAAGAGAGCCCAAGTGAGCCACATGCAAGTGATAGTCACAAAATTCTGAGCTTCCAAGGAGTGAGAAGAAGCTGAACAAAAGTCAGGAGAGAGGAGACAGAGGAGTGAAGTGTCAGCTAGCTTGATTCAGCACAGTCATCTGAATTTTTGCAAGCTGCATTCAATCCAGACAGTGGCCTGGCACATCGGTGGCTGATGAGGATGGAGGTGGGATCCTTCCTTGCTACCCATACCTTCCTGATGATCAGGAGCACCTTCGCTCACCCACCAGCCAGTGACACTGTCATCTTATACAAGCTGAGTTAAGAGCTCACCACCCTGGACAGAGCATTGTGTGCTTCACCCCCAAGTCTAAAGGTATATGAACTCCACCTCATCAGACTAGTAGAATGTAACTCCTGGCAAACTCTGACAGGCAGGAACTTCTTCTACAACCATCCATCCTAGCAACAGCCACTTGCTGAAGCAAAAGTACTCTTTCTGGGTATAAAAACCCTGACATCAGCCACCATTTGAGACCCCTTGAGATATACTTCCTCATCAGATACCCTGACCTAAACAATATCTAGGCCAGCAGGAAGTCTACTTCCTAACACTTTCCCACCCCCATGACCCCCACCCTGAGAACTCCTTAGCTGGCAGAGGGTCCTCTCCCTGCCTCCCACAGTTTTCTCTTCTCTATGTTTCCTTTTTATTTTTAAAATATGTTTTGCTGAGCTCTAATTGACACCTAATACTACTCATTAGTTTACTTATATTAAAAAGGGTTGTGCAATCATCTCCACAATCAACGTTGGAACCTTTTTTCCTTCTTGTCCCCACTTAGGTTGACTTCCCACTTCCATATTCCCAGGTAATTATTATTCCAGTTACTGTCTTCAGAAATCCAGGGCTTCACTATAGAGAAAATCATATAAAACAAGGATAGAGAATAGGAAAAAAGACCTCAATATAAGAAGACGCTAACAAAATTAAAAATTTAGGATCCATTGACGGTGGGTCCAAAGGGACATCCAATGGCAAGGTGTTACATTCCAATCTGCGTACGGTTGCTAAGAATCTGTTTACAAGGCTCTCTTCTGATATTATGGTGGTTCATATTCTTACCCTGCGTGTATTCAGCAGCTATTCAATTCACATAGGGATCAAGCAAATGGATTTTGGGCTTCCATGATCATCCATAGTGTTCTAGAAACTGGGTGCTTAGAACTTAGGCAGTAGTATTGCTCCCCCTTAAGGGATTGGATCTTATTGTTTATAATCCTTGGATCACGAAGGCTGGTATGCTTCTCCGGTGTGGACTTCACTGACTTCTCAATTGGAAGGCTGGTTGCTATTTTTCCTTATAGACACACACCTTCTGATTTATTCATCATGCTTTCTGATGGCACCCATTTCTTCTGTGATCTCATGAGAGTGAGTAGCAGGCAGGGCCATGTCACACAAATTCAGTGTTATTCGTTTGATGAAATACTCCACTTCTATTCCCTGGCATCTGTTACTTCAGTAAACAAACACAGGTAATGCAAAGAAAGAAAGTGCCAAACAACCAGAGCGTGGCTTGCTGTCATTTGTTTCAGCTTTGTGTTATGCCCCCAATTCCCATGAGACATTATGAGTGAATTATGCAATTCCCGAAAGTGTTCAAAGAGCTAAAATTACTGTCAGAATAATTGTTGTAAATTCAGCTGAAGCAGAAAGGGGGGTTTCAAAGATGACCATAATATGCTCAAAGAAAATAAGTTGTGTGTTTCTAATATATCAACCACAATAACTACTGTCTAGTTCACTTAGTTTTAAAGGAATGGGATCCCACTCCTACACTAAACAGATGGTTAAGGGTAAATAACCCAGTCGATGGCACTAGGGTAAAAGCACAGACTATGGCAATCGAGGATGCCAATCAAGAACCAATATAGAAATGTCTTAAATAAAATTTTTATTGCTTTTTTTTAATGTATTATTTAATATTTTACATTAATATTTTGTGTTCCTATGATCTAGGTTTATGCACTTCTTTTATTGTCCTTATTTAAGCACTGACTATGAACTAATTAACTACTTTAAGGTAGCAAACGGCTTTTTACATATTTGACTCCCTCCATCCCTGGATACCACCATAATAAATGCCTGTGCTTGCTGTTGTTAGGTGCCATCAAGTCAACTCTGGCCCAGAATGACCCAGTGTATGGTGGAACAAAGCACCGCACAGTCCTGGGCCATCCTCACAAGGGTTCCTGTGCCCGAGCCCATCGATGCAGCCTCTGTGTCAGTCCGTCTCCCCGAGATCCTTGCTCTCTTTTTGCTGCCCCTCCACTTTTCCACCCACAATGTCCTTCTCTAGGGACTGAACTCTCTTGACAATATGTCCAAAATATGTAAAATAAAATCCTGCCATCCTTTCTTCTAAGGGGCACTCTGGCCTTACTTCTTCCAATACAGATGTTTGTCCTTTTGGCAGTCCATGGTCCATTCATATTCTTTTTCTCCAGCACCACAATTCAAATGCATCCATTCTTCTGCGGTCTACCTTATTCAATGTCCAACTTTCACATGCATATGATGCAATGGAGAACACCATGGAGGAGACACAACTTAGTCCAAAAAGAAACATTCTTGCTCTTCAATACCTCAAAGAGGTCCTGTGCAGTATAGTTACCTAATGCGACATATCTTTTGATCTCTTGGCTGCTGCTTCTAGGAGCATTGCTTACAGATCCAAGTAAGACAAAAATCCTCAACAATTTCAACTCCTACATTTATCATGGTGTTACTATTGGGCCAAATGTGAGGATTTAGGTCTTACTGACATTGAGTTGTAATTCACACTGAAGGCTACATCTTCATCAGCAAGGGCTTCAATTCCTCCTCACTTTCAGCAAGCAAGCTTGTGGACTCTGCATACCACAGCGGCTAATAAGCCTTCCTCCAACTCTGATGCTGCACCCCTCTTCATGGAATCTGGTTTCCCTGATGATTAGCTCAGTATACAGATGGAACAAGTATGGTGAGAGGATACAACCCTGATGCCTGCCTTTCCTGATTTTTAAAACATACAGCATTCCCTTGTTCTCTTTTCACAACTGCCTCTTGATTCACATACGAGTTCCAAAAGAGCACAATGAAGTTTTTCCAGAATTCCTATCTTCTCAAGGTCATCCACAAGTTTATTATGACCCACACAGTCGAATACCTTTGCATAGTCAATGAAACACAAATAAACATCTTTCTGGTATCCTGTACTTTGAGCCAAGATCCATCTATTCACACAACGAAAATTCCTCCAAATTAATTTAGCAAAGCCTTACAGAATTGAAGAGACAAACAGAAAGCCCTGTAATAATAGTGGCAACTCACTATTCCACTTTAGATGAGGGAAGGAAAATCTAGAAATAAATTTAATAAGAACACAGAAGAATTAAATAAGAAAGTCAGCCAACTAAACCTCCTGAGGGCACTACACCCAATTTCAGCTCAATATACACTCCTTTATAGTACATGACACATTCTCCAGGACAGACCATCAGTAAGGCCAGAAAACAAACCTAAATACATTAAAACACAGTGAGTTATTATAAAGAAAAATATGATTAAGAAACTAGATGGTGCCCAGCCATCAAAAAGAATGGTGTCCGAGTTTTTAAGGACTTGTCTTGAAACAACCAGCCATCTAAGTGAGGAGTCCATTAAGTCCACATGGAAGGAGTACACCAGCATGTATGATTCAAGGATTGTAAATAATATAATCCAAATCCGAAGGAGGGAATGGTAGCAGAGCTTAAATTGTGAACAACTGGTTTGC